CTGGGAGCTTGTCTCGGAGCTGGTCTCGGTGGCGCTCAACAGTCACTTTTGAGTTTGCTGATGACAACAGAGCTCCGACCTGGGTCGTCCCCAGGACTAAGCTGGACCACTCATCCCAGAAAGTCACCGTACAAGAAGCGCGATGCTGGGGGCAGGAAGGGAGTTTTACTTGCAGCATCACCACACTGGAAGCACAAAGGTCTAATGACTAAAAATCTGTTCGCTGTGCTTCCTTTTATCCTCGATGTCAAAAAAGGGAGGAGAGACAGAAGCCAGTTTGGGGATTCCATAAGAGTGATCCGGATCCTTTTGGATCGGCCTTGCAGAGCTGTGTCGGTTCTGACACCGAGGTAGAAGTATGTAAGACTTGGGAAAACTTGGGAAGACAGAAAAGAACAAGATGGACTCAAACAAGATGAAGTTAGCCAGGTCTGTTCCTGACCACTCTAAATCCCTATTGTCAAGCCATTACTCCCTTGCTATGAGCCAGAGACTAACGTGGGGCCAAGTTAAAGTAATACTATCCAGAATCTCGAAAAGAATATAAATGGACCAAAGGACAGCTCACTTTAAGGTTCTCATTCCGGTCAATAAATATAGGGGGGAAAAAAGTGTCTCCTGTTGGGGAAACATTTGAATAATTGCTGCTGAACATGAAAATCATGGGTACTAAAAACAGAGCTAAAAAGTGACCAGTTGCTTTTGGGTTCTAGAGACTGAACCCAGGGTTTCAACTACGCTGAGTTAAGGTAAAAGCACTGAACTATATATTCCTCCTGTTTGGGAGACTATGTGTATTTTAACACAGTTGTAAAGTTTCTCCCCAAGATTCCTAGCAATTGTAAATGGTAAACGGTAGCTTTACAATGGAAAAAACCTGGATGACTCCACATTAAGAAAGACCACCAGCTGAAGGAGGCACGGAGGTTCTTGTGCTCACAGATAAGCACTAGGAGCACCTGGAATGTTAACATGCTGTGTTTTTCCTTCAAGGGAAGAGATGTTATGTCTGTTGTCCCCTCAGCTGGGCGCCGGTGTACATTCTAGCCTGGTGACCTTTGTGCTGTACAGCAGAGACCACACAGAACCCTCCCACAAACCTTTATCATAAACTTGTTTTTCTCAGTCTGCAGAACCTATCTTTATGGAAGGTGTCAGATGTACTTTACAAAGAGTTTAGATGTAGTCACTTCAAATTTTTATTAAGCTTAATAAAAGAGATTTATGTGCCAGGTGGTGGTGGCACTTGCCTTTAATCCCAGCACTCGGGAGGCAGAGGCAGGCCTGGTCTATGAAGCCAGTTCCTGGACAGGCTCCAAAGCTACACAGAAAAACCCTGTCTCAAAAAGAGAGAGAGATTTACATATGCTGCATTGTGCACACATGATTGAGTTATCACTGTGAGAGTGTTGGAGCTTGGATGGAAAGGGTTCCTGGCAGTCAGGAGCCAAGGATGATCACAGTCACTGTGAGCGTAGTTTATAGCTCTGCTCCAATGAAAGGTTTCCCCAGTGTAAGTGTAATGACTCTGCTCCAGCAAAGGGAAGGTTTCCCCATGGAAGTTGCTACAACTCTGCTTAGGTCCAGCAAAGTGCTCTCCTAGGGGAAAATTGTTACAGCAGGGTTCTGTCATACAGAACAACAAACCTCACTGCATTTATTAGGAAGGAAAAATCCAGGAGGGTGGCTGCCTCTAAGGTGAGAAGCAGCAACAAACTGAACAGAACACAGTTTATATAGGGTTTCTTGGGGGCAGGGGATGTTTCCAAAGTGGCTTGCAATTGGTGGGGTTTTGTGGCCTGATTCTGGAGCAAACTCAGGGATTGGTGGGATTTCAAGTCCCTGTCCCTAGTCTTGGGGTCAAGTCAGGGGCAGGATGTTTTTCCTTAGCCCTTTTTACCCTGCAATCACCAGAAAAGTTTTCACCAAACTCCTGAAGTTTGAACCAACACCATCTACTTAGTTGTGTTGAACTGAACTTCCTTTGTCACTCTGATGGCAGCGGAGGTCTCAGAGACCTCCCCTGTTAAGTCTCAAACCCTGGACAAATGACTGAGGTTCTCCCAGCATCCCTCAGTCTCTGTTACAGGGTTTGGCTGACTTACCCCCCCCCCAACCCTCTACCCTGAACTCTCCAAGCCCAGGGGTGGGCTGCCCTTCCCCCAGAGGCTCTTCCCTATATAATCCAGACACACTTGGTTACCTGTTCCTTTTTGTACCTTTGGCTTCCTGTCTTCTGCACCTGGTAACCCTCTCTCCCCTCTCTCTTTCTCTCCTCCCTCAGTCTGGTCATATGTCCACACTGGAATCTTCCATAGTTCCCTGTCTCTGCCTCTGGCTATGCTTTCTCTTTTATTCATAATAAACTTTCTCCTACACCATACCTAGAAGTAGTCATGTCCTTTCCTTTTTATTTTTTTATTCACCCCCACCCCCAATATCTGCAAGTCGTTTACCCTCAATAGGTGCACTGAGGCCAGCAAAATGACTCAACAGGTTAAAAAAATGTGTTGGGATACCTCTCACAGGATCATACTTGCCCACAATTGAGGAGTAAGCACCCCTAAAGCACAGCTGAATGGTAAAGGAAGAAGAGACAGGCAAAAATATTCCACTAAGTGTAAGACCAACCTGGTCTACAAAGTGAGTGCCAGGCCATCCAAGGCCATAGTGAGACCCCATATCAAAACAAACATTATTATACCACAACAGAAATGAAAGAGAAAAGCACTAGTCATTGTATATATTGAGGGGCTCCTGAAAAGCACATAGGTTCACTTCTAGATATTTCTGGCCCAAAAGCCAAAGCATGAATGAAGAAAGATCAGATAAACTCAAAGTCAGGACCATTCAATAAGATCACCAGACTATAAATGGGATCCTAGCTCAGAAAAGGAACACAGTGGGACATTTGATAACATTCAGATTGTATCAGGCTTTTTCTTTTGGGCCACCAACCATCTCCCAAATCATGATATGGAGACTTCTTGTTTTGAATGCTTGGCCTTAGTTATTTTCTGGCTAACTCTTTTAACTTAAATTAACCTGTTTCTCTTTGTCTACATTTTGCCTCAGGGCTCTTTACCTTTTCTTACTTTCTTGCTGTCTCTATGGCTGGCTGGCTGGCATTTGTCTGGCTTCTTACCCCCAGGTGTTTCCCTCTTTATCGGCTCTTGTTCTCCTATTTATTCTCTCTGCCTGCCAGCCCCACCTATCCTTTCTCTGCCTAGCTATTGGCGGTTCAGCTCTTTATTAGAGCAATCAAGTGCCTTAGGCAGGCAAGGTGAAACAAATGCAGCATAAACAAAAATAGCCCACCTTTACATAGTTAAAGTAATATTCTGCAGCATAAACAAATGTAATACATCTTTGCCTAGTTAAAATACTACTCCACAACATCAGATGAAGTGTGATGGTGAGTATTTGATAATGCAACCTCAGAGAAAGGGTTCTTCAACCCAAACAGCCTCTACTTGGCTGAACTTGATCCTTGTCTAGGTCAGTTCTTGATCCTTGTCTAGGTTCATTTGCATCCTTCCTTGTAAATTCCAGTCTTAGCAAAGAACAATTTGGCAAGACCCCATCTATGATGGTCCATACTGCTTATCAACTTGACAGAACAGTGTTCTTAACCCATGAGTCTAGACCCTTTTGGGGGTTGAACAACCCTTTCACGGGGTCTCATATCAGATATCCTGGATCTTTATTTACATTATGATTAATAATAACAAAATTAAACTTAAGTAGCAACAAAAATAGTTTTATGGCTGGGGGTCATCACAACATGAGGAGCTGTATTAAAGGGTTGCAGCATTAAGAAGGCTGAGATCCACTGCACTAGAATCACCTAAGAAAAGAGAAATTATCAGGTTAGGTTAGTTCCTGGCCATGTGCATCAGGGATAATCTTGACTGGGTTAACTGATGTTGAAAATCCACCTTAAAAGGCACAGCACCATTTATTTATTTATTTGGGGATTTTGTTGTTGCTGCTGCTGCTACTTTAAGACTGGACTTTTCTGTGTAGCACAGGCTGGCCTCGAACTCAGAGATCTGCCTGCTTCTGCCTCCAGAGTGCTGGAATTAAAGTGTGCACCACCAACTCCTGGTGAAAATATTTCTTCTTGACCCAAATATGACTAATATTTCAGGTTGCCCTGAAAGGCATGCTCCACTGTGAAAGTAATGACATGAGATTTTATTAGTTACAGAACAAAGAACATAAATTAAGGAATTCACCAAATGCATTGATTGGGACCACTATAGGTAGATTTTTTCTGTCTTCCCTGCCAGCTCCCAAATAACCACATAG